AAACAAATAAGTTACAGAGCAAAGGGATTCAGCTGGTCTCCCAGATCGATCCGAATTTTGCACAGTTCTGCTACACCCCCCGATCCCTCCCTGAAGACGACACCATTATGGTAAGTGATATCACATGATAGGCTTGGGGGGCGGGGCATCTGGTGACAATTTTTTGGTGCTGAAACATTGAAAAGGTCTTGTATTCTGCATACAGAGTTCCTAATATTAACCCACCCAAGAGTTTCCCGTACTCATCGGGGTAATCTACTAGTGCTGTGTGAACCCCATAGTGTTATTGGATGGAGGGTATAACTCATAGCGTGATTGGATGATGGGTATTACTCAGTGTCATTGGGTGGTGTGTATTTTTCGAGGTGTGATTGGGTGGTGGGTATTACTAGTGGGGTCATTGGGTGGTGGGTATTACTAGTGGGGTCATTGGGTGGTGGGTATTACTGTGGGGTTACATCCACGTAACCCCTGAGATCCCAGACTGCACCACATCCCATTAACCCTCCGAGTTCCAGAGTTACAATATGCAAAGTATCTACTTAACCCTTTACCCTGCCAGACGGCAATATCCAATATACTCAATGACTCCCATTCCCGCCAGGTCAGCAACTCTGCAGCTGCCAGACGTTAGATTTTCAGCTCTTGGGGCAGCAATCTTGCTGGCTGTCCTATATTATAGTCAGGCACTGCCCCATGTATGCTGACGCGTTTCTCCTCCGCCTCCTCTCACAGGCTATTCTCAGTATGTTTGAGGACATGAACTTCGTCAATAACTACAAGATGGATCGGACGACGCTGGTCAGGTATGTCCCGCCCTCTGCCCATCGATAATTGGAGAGGAACCACAACTGGCCACACCCACTCATGCTTCATTATGGCCACACCCAGGCATTGTCTATGCTTAATTATGGCCACACCCGGTCATTGTCTATGCTTAATTATGGCCACACCCAGTCATTGTCTATGCTTAATTATGGCCACACCCAGTCATTGTCTATGCTTAATTATGGCCACACCCGGTCATTGTCTATGCTTAATTATGGCCACACCCAGTCATTGTCTATACTTAATTATGGCCACACCCACTCATTGTCTATACTTAATTATGGCCACACCCACTCATTGTCTATTCTAAATTATGGCCACACACAATCATTGTCTATGCTGTAATTATGGCCACACCCACCCATTGCCTATGCTTAATTATGGCCACACCCACTCATTGTCTATGCTTACTTATGGCCACACCCACTCATTGTATATGCTGTAATTATGGCCACACCCACTCATTGCCTATGCTTAATTATGGCCACACCCACTCATTGCCTATGCTTAATTATGGCCACACCCACTCATTGTCTATGCTTAATTATGGCCACACCCAGTCATTGTCTATGCTGTAATTATGGCCACACCTAGTCATTGTCTATGCTTAATTATGGCCACACCCACTCATTGTCTATGCTTAGTTATGGCCACACCTGTTCATTGTATATGCTTAATTATGACCACACCAACTCATTGTCTATGCTTCATTATGACCACACCCACTCATTGTCTGCTTAATTATGACCACACCCACTCATTGTCTATGCTTAATTATGACCACACCCACTCATTGTCTATGCTTAATTATGGCTACACCCACTCATTGTCTATTCTAAATTATGGCCAGACCCAGTCATTGTCTATGCTGTAATTATGGCCACACCCACCCATTGCCTATGCTTAATTATGGCCACACCCAGTCATTGTCTATGCTTAATTATGGCCACACCCAGTCATTGTCTATGCTTAATTATGGCCACACCCAGTCATTGTCTATGCTTAATTATGGCCACACCCACTCATTGTCTATGCTTAGTTATGGCCACACCTGTTCATTGTATATGCTTAATTATGACCACACCAACTCATTGTCTATGCTTCATTATGACCACACCCACTCATTGTCTGCTTAATTATGACCACACCCACTCATTGTCTATGCTTAATTATGACCACACCCACTCATTGTCTATGCTTAATTATGGCTACACCCACTCATTGTCTATTCTAAATTATGGCCAGACCCAGTCATTGTCTATGCTGTAATTATGGCCACACCCACCCATTGCCTATGCTTAATTATGGCCACACCCAGTCATTGTCTATGCTTAATTATGGCCACACCCAGTCATTGTCTATGCTTAATTATGGCCACACCCAGTCATTGTCTATGCTTAATTATGGCAAAACCCACTCATTGTCTATGCTGTAATTTTGGCCTCACCCACTCATTGTCTATGCTTAATTATGGCCACACCCACTCATTGTCTATGCTGTAATTTTGGCCTCACCCACTCATTGTCTATGCTTTATAATGGCCACACCCACTCATTGTCTATGCTTAATTATGGCCACACCCACCCATTGCCTATGCTTAATTATGGCCACACCCAGTCATTGTCTATGCTTAATTATGGCCACACCCACTCATTGTCTATGCTTAATTATGGCCACACCCAGTCATTGTCTATGCTGTAATTATGGCCACACCCAGTCCTTGTCTATGCTTTATAATGGCCACACCCACTCATTGTCTATGCTTAATTATGGCCACACCCACTCATTGTCTATGCTATAATTATATAATTACTATAATTAATTAATTACCTTCAGTAAATCAGCCAATGAGTGGGGCCACGGTGAATCGGAATGCCGGAATATGCAAATATTTTCTAGTTTTAAGGTAGAACTTTGGGTTTTAAACCAAATCTTCCTGTAATCAGGTGTCACCGCTGCAGCCCAGTCAGCGAAATGCAGCGTTGTCACCCATTGTGTCCCCTGCGTTTCCTAGAACTAGTGACGTCACATTGGGCTTTCATCCTGGTCACTGCTGATGACCTCCTAGGTACACCAAGCCTAGCTCCACCCATCCCCACACTTATCTCCGCCCACTGCCTCTCGCTGACCTTGTCCCAGTCCATCAGCCTAATTCAGGGCATGACGGGAGGTGTAGTTTTGGTGGCAGCCTAATGATAGGTAATGATTCGTCCCTGCAGGTTTTGCCTTATGGTGAAGAAGGGTTACAGGGACCCTCCGTATCACAACTGGATGCACGCCTTCTCTGTGACGCATTTCTGCTATCTCCTCTACAAGAACCTGGAACTGGTCAACTATCTGGAGTGAGTACATACCCCTCACTGGGTGGCGCTCTCCTGCAGAGAGATGAGCAGATCAGTTCTGCGGGGGCTGGCCTAACGCCTCCTGTCCACTCTTGATTGGAGCAAAATCAGCCCAGTCAGGTTTCCCCCTCCTTCGCCCGGGGAGAATGAGACGGTGACTCGGATCTGTTACCATGGCAATAGGACTGATTCTTGATGCTGCTTTCTTTGCGTTGGTTTCCATATGGCTTCATTTCATCCGACCGCCGCCATTTTCTGATGCAAATTGATTTTATTTTCTCTCTTTTTTAGGGATATCGAAATCTTTGCCTTGTTTGTATCCTGTATGTGCCACGATCTGGACCACCGAGGGACGAATAATTCCTTCCAAGTGGCTTCGGTAGGTTTAGATTAAGAATGTTTTATAAAAAGTGGTCACATGATGACTGGGAGCAGTGATGTCACAGGGGGGGGGTGCGGCCTGCACCCGGGTGACACCATTGGAGGGGGGTGACACCAAAAATGACTGACAGTAATAATATGTCAATGTTTTGGTTGACTCTGGAGAGTTCATGTGCCCGGCTTAGTGTGCCATCCCCGCATCTGCCAGGTGCCGGGATGAAGGGACTCCCCATGGCCAAGATGGCCGAAGATGTTGGTGCCGGTGAAGAAGGTCATAGATGCTGCATCACTGAAAGCATTGTAATATATCCCCCCCACGTCCAGGTGCCATTCTAATATATCCCCTCCCC